CATGCAAATTGGCCACCCAATCCTCCTTGCTGGGGAGGTTCCAGCAAATTACATAAGATTTTCAAGATCTGGATACACAGCATAGATACCGGGATCTATAAACTTTTATCAGCAGTTTCAAGAAAGATTTATAACAAAAATACTGAATACCTTTCACCCCGAGGTATGAATTCTATTTTACAGAAGCTATCAGGAAGCTGGACATCTGTAATAGAGGGGACAAAAGTCAACAGGGGTGTGGAAAAAAGCAAAAGAGTTGGGAGCCGTTCTAGCTTAAAGCTCTTATTGTCAATAATGATGCCTTAAGAGAGGCATTTCAACTTTTTAAAATGGGGGAAAAGCATTACACAAAAGGTAGAAAACCATTGGTGGTCAAGGGAAAGGGATTAAGCCAGTGGAAGGAGGCATTCTTGGGAAACCCAGACCAGGATACCAAGCTGCACCCTCATCTACCATTTACCTTCTATTTTTTCCTCTTAAAAATGGACTTAAGCTCAGACCTCCTGAGCCCCCATATCCCAACAATGTACATTTCCTCCAGGCTTGTGTTTTCTAATTCTTCTTATGTCACACTCATATGCAGGAGACCAGTATATAGTTTGCTGGGGCTGGTGTCCATCTCCAATAATCAGGAGTGTCAGCTCACAGCCTAGATCAGTCCGTACAAGGTAGCAGCAACCTTTCTCGCACATGTGCCTGCCAAACCTCTCTCCTTCAGTCCTACCTCAGCACTGCTGTTTAGCAGGAGCAAATCACAAAGGCATTGAAATGTCAGCATCTATTTTCATTAGCATAATAGAACCAACTGCATAAAAATGCTAATCCTGCATCCCAACAGTTCAAGACTTTTAGAAAGACTAGCACAGTTGTGATTCAAATGATGTTGTTTTTCAAAACACGTGCAGTGAAAGAGTCAGCCAAAAAGGAATGATCAGATTATTGCCACAAGGTGTGATTAGGCTGTGAAATATTTCAGTTGTTGATGGTGGTCCAAAGGAAGCAGTGGGTTTTGATCATCAGGAGCATATCGGCAGCAGGGCAGAGAGCCACACTGAGGATGGGGTGAAGGGTATTTCAAAAGTGAAATGTCCTCTTTTAACCTTCTTGCAAACATCTCTGTGTACATACAGCATGAACACTGAGCCAAGCTTATTTGACCTGCACAGAAAATATGCTAAGATGAAAAGTCTAGGGATTGGTCCCACTTTCAACAAAATACTGCATTCCAAGGTAGAAAACTCAGACTCTGAAGGTTTTCTGGAAGAAGAGGAGGAGGAGATAGAATGCACTACTGAAATGCCAAAGTGAGCAAGCAAGATTAGCCAAGCAGCTGGTGAGACTTGGACTGGTTTTGGTTTGGAGAAGACACTCAGAACAAGGAGGGGCAGAGGGCAGGGCAGGACACAGCACGGCAGAGCAGTGGTGTAAGTTGGCTCATTGGAGGAATGTAAGGGGTGACCCGTTGGCTCCTCATCAAGCCAAACAAGTGGACCAATTAATGTCCGGTGTTCCTGTTGTCTAGCCCACAAGCAACACAAACCTTCTGAAGGTGGAAGCAGCCCCCTTTTGAAGGGGAAGCAAAGAGGGGAATTCAGTTCAGAATCAACTCCTGACACCAGCTCAACCTCTGATAACCTTGTGCCCACATGAACAGTCTCCATAATTTCATAATTAGTTGGCCCACTAGTCAAGACTTATTTGTTGTTATACTCCCCTCTATCATGAGCCTGGATCACTGTTTTCTGAATTCAATTTTAAGTTCAGTTTGATTGCAACCAGTCTGCATCTAAGCAATATCAGCTCTGCATGCTGGATTGGTTGGTTTAACCAACCACCTCTCTTCCTTCACTGTGATTAACACAGCAGTGCTTGTTCCCCAGGAACCAGGATTCTGTGAGCTGCCTTCTGTCTTCCATGTACTGGCAATCAGTGAACAAAGACCACATCACATGGACAGGCCACATTAAAAAGCCCAGCCAGAAAGGGCATACACAGTGTGGCAAGCCATGACATCATGATGCATTGCACATTTCCAAATGATCACTCACGAGATGCACTTTGGTTGGTACATCTACTCATCCACACGGAACAAGAGTTCATATTAAAAAGAAGTCTCATTTGAGCTAAGATGGGTGAATGTGTTATTTTCCAAGTAGTAACTTAATCTTAACCTAGAGTAAATTCCGTGTCGCTTCTTATAGTCCTCTGTGCATGATCCCTGCATAATCAGGCTGGGTTTGAATCTGGAGCCTCTCCTGTTTGTTTTCTTAGCTCCTGTGCACTATTTATGGTGTTTGAGTAAAGAACTGGATAATAATCTTTGGCATAGCTCAGGAAACATGCTTTTCTTCTAAGCTGATCTAAAGAAATGCATTTTGTTGTTGCTTATGTTGGCTGTAGATTCATCACCATAAAAGAAGTCATTTCAGTTTTACAGTTTGCTCATTTAGATTGCCCAAATTCAGCTTCACGCAGCTGAATTCACCATAGCTCTGTTACTTTTAACATTGGAATGGTGAGAATTAAATCAGGTTGCTTCTCTACTTTAATGTTGTCCTTAGTCCAGATGATATTAAAAACACATTTTTAAGGAGCTCTGATCTTCCAAAAGAAATCAGTAAATGTTTCAAGTCACACCGAAACTAATAAACAAATGTGAACAGCTGCTAAATGTCCTACAAGCTAATCTGAGATTCATTTCAATTACCTTACAAAATACACCTTAGGTGTGCATTGCAGCATGTCTTCTGTTTTATATCTTGCACATATGTGCCAAATGTTATTTCCTCCTAATTGTTTTCACCTCAGTACTTCCAACAATTTTCTTATTCCCTTCCAGTCTCTTGTTCTCCTTCTTTTTCACTGTTATGATATAGCATCAAGAAGTTGTTGTTTACATCATTATGCCTATTTGTTCCTTATGCAGCACTTTTCCTTGTTTGGGGTTCTTTGCAATGTATATTGGATTTTCCTTACAAAAAGCAGTGCATTGGCCAGGAGCCAGAGAAACCTTGGCTCAAATCTAGGAAGCTCCAGAGGAGACAGGGCTAGCCTTAACCTGAAGTAACGCGAAGCAGTCACCTCAGGTGGCAGGCAGGTGGGATAGTGGGACAACTCTGGCAGCCCCCTAGCTGCGGCCCTCCCTGGGAGGACAGAGACGTGTGTTCTGGGTATCCTGACCTGAACCCCTAAGCTAGCCTGAGGCCCTCAGGTAAGGCAGAGAAAGTTGTTCTATCCCCACTGTTGCACCAGGTTCAACTGCTAGTCCAGCTGCCCTGTAGGTGGAATGAGATGTTTTTGTCTGGTGGAGGACCATAGATTAGTCTAATATAACTCATCAGGGCTATTAATTGTATAAGATGGGATGGCCTTACATTTGCAAAGAAGGGTGTAATGCAGATGTTGTAAATAGGTATTTGTGCAGAGAATGTGCTGAAGCTAACTGTGCAGTTTTGCTAAAGTTCTCTAATCTGTTTGGATGGGAGCCACCTGGGATCCATATATAAACAGCTCTGAGGAGGGTATAAATGTGATAAAGAAATCAATAACTCGTGTCTAGCATATGACTTTCTCTCTTTTTGTGGGATCAAAGCCCTGATGCTGGGGAGAGAGAACTGAGGCAAAACTAAAAAATAGAAGCTGAGAGAGGCAGCAGAATCTGATACACATCAGTCAATCAAGCCTAATCTTATATAAAAGACTGATCTCATTCTCATTTAGTCTAATGGTATCACCCCCACACAAGATAGAGGTAACAGCAGCATTGGGGGAACCAAGGGTTTGCAGAAGTACAAAAATATTGTGTTGTTTAAAGGAAAATGCAAATATAGTGGAATGCTCAGTGCACAGAGAATGCTGAGAAACTGTTCTGGGGTATGAGAAAAGAAGGAAAATTGGGAAAATCAGTGCACATAAGCGTCAAGCACAGAGTCTTGTGTGTGTGTTGAGCATGGAATGAAGGGCAGCGAAGGTGATCTCCACCACCCACACCTTGCACCGGGAAATTTCCAGCCATCTAGATAAAGCGCCAGGGAGGAGGAGCTGGGATGCCAGTAGGAATTGGCATAAGCCCACAGCTCCAATGCTGTCTTCTCCCCAGTCCCGGCATGCCCCTTTCCCCTGCTCTACGGCCCCAGTGCAACCTGGGTGGGTAGGTGCATCATTCTTTTCATGCCAGCTCTGAGGGGGAGGGGCCTCAGCCTTTGGAGTCCCAGCTCTGAGATCTCTGAATCATCCGATGGTTGCTGAGATGGTGTCAGGAGGCCCTAGGACTGAAACCTAGGAGTGAAATACGGGTGGGTTTATTTTGTTGATTTGACTAGAATATCTTTCTGAGAGTGTAAGCTTAAAACAATCATTCTCAAGGAAGCACATCCTAGAATGCTCTAGGAAGCCATTTGTGTGAGTTGTGATCAAGCCAAACTCTTCTTACCTGGAATCATTCAGATTTAAGGTTGTTTACAAGGACATGTATAGCAACCTTTGAACACTATTTGCAATCAATCCTTCTAATGTCCTTCTAGAAGGTTTAATTATATGATGCCAGGACTTCTGCCCCATAGTCACTTTCTTCAGTGTTCATAGTATTTTTGAAGTCTGTAAAGTCTGAAAGAAGCCTGAGTAATTTATAGTGTTCTTCAAGTACTTTTCAAGCAAGAGATTGTCTGAGATTCTCAGCAGTGTCAAAGTTCCTAATGATGTAAGACTTTTATTTATGTTGCACAAAAGCAGCATTGGCAACTGTGTTAACTAATGCCTTGTGTGTTGTTTATTGCTCTCTTTTTTAAAAATATGATACGCATTTGCAGGTGCCATTTCTTCTTTCAAAGCAACTACTTTTTTCCAGTCGCAATCATTATAAGAAGCAAAACAGAATGGTTTGGTTTTCTCCATATGCTTGTATTATTTTCAGCTATTGTCCTCTTGCAGGCACTACCACCTGCTCACCTCTGTAGACTTTCACCTTCATCTCTATTTCTCTTTCTGTCTCTCACTCTCAGGTCTGGATGTGTGGAGGTGGCATGTTTGATGTTCCCTGTTCCAGAGTGGGGCACATCTATAGGAAATATGTCCCTTACAAAGTTCCATCTGGCACCAGTCTAGCAAGAGTAAGTAACTACAATTTGATATGCTTTTTTCAGCGGTAAGCATTTGGCTGAGTAGGTCAGTTCCTTTGTCTAGAAGATTATCTGAAGCAGGTGTGTTGACCCACTTTGCACCTAAAGCCTCTAAATCCTTTTTGGAGAAGCTCTCATGGAGCACATTCCAGTAGTGGACAGAGTCAAAACCAAAAGAGACAGAACCAGAAGGTCAGCATGTGTAGCTTAAAGCTGTTACTGTGGATAATGAAGCTATAGGAAGTTACAGTTGAAGCTATAATAATTTCAACCTTAAAAAGGAGAGGGGTCAGGGTGAGAGTCAGGCAAAGCAGTGAGACCCTCTGGTGTTCTTGGAGAGCAAGCTTGAAGTTCAAAGAAGGCTGCATGCAGGCACAAGACCTGAGGTCCTGCAATGCTGATCTAAAGAAATATGACATAACATGAAGGCTACTTTCAAGTATCACAATCCTGATTTCCAAAATGTTCTCTTGGACAATCAGCAACAAAATACAAGCTCAGGCACTGCTTGGATTGTGTTCTGTATGGGTCTGGGTCTCAGTAGAACTAACATTGGATTTTCATCCCCCCTTCCTTTCCTTTTATAGCTTAATTCCACACTGGAGACTCCAGCTATAGGAATTGTTCAGAACAATTCAGGAGACAGGTTACCGTAAGCAATGGAACCACCGTGTGAGTCTGCTTTCTAGGAACACCAGTCCTGTGGGACTTGGCCTCGCAATGGGTTGAGTCCTACAATTTGGGGCTAGGGAGACACATCTATGGGCCTCTAAGCTTAGGAGTGCTTCTAACATTACTTTTGCACTGGCAGGAAAGTACCTGCAAGTCAGTCTCTGGCCAAAAATAATAACTTCAGTACAGAGTGCTACAATTTGACCAAAGTATATTAAATCACCCTTAGTCAGCAAGCCTGAAATGGTGACATTTCGCTGTGACATTCTAGTTGGTTTTAGTTCAAGAGGCTAAAATTCAACTGATTGTCCCATCAGTTCCCACACGCTCCATTTCCTGAGCCAATTGCCCAGCAAAAGGGGCTCAGTTACATGAAGCGATTTCAAAAGGTTGCTTTATCAAATCAATAAAATGTGAGCTTACCAATCGATGGATTTTCAAGCACTTGTGTCATGAGCCAAGGTTCCTCTTTGAGCATTCAAAAGCCACAGACCATTTTCCTTGCAAAGCATTCTTTTATTGACCCAAAAGCACAAATCACCCAGAACGAATCTCTGAGCATGCACAGAGCAGCTTGCTAAGTGCAGGCTAGTGTTTACCTCCAGGAACTCTCCTTATGAACATGTCTGAGACCCATCCCTTTGGAAGGGGACTTCTGAAAGCAAGTCTGCCTCTTCTCTACCTGTCGATCCTCTAATTGGCCCACCCACCTTTGGTGACACCTCATCAAGAGCTGCTGCTACCTGGTCTACATCTGAGTCCCCTCCTGTGGGCTGTATATCTTGGTTATTCCCGGGAACTGCCTCTCTCCCTGAGGAATTTGGCCTTGAGATAAGTGTATCCACTTTCCCCATCTCTTTGTCTCAGCATGACCCATCCTCCCCAACTCCCTCCAATTCTGCTTCACATTCCAATTCAGATTCTTTTAAAACCCAGCCAGAAGTCCTTAAGACAAGTGTCCAAAGCAGCCATATTTTTCACTCCCAACAACCCGTGTCCAACAAGAAAAAGGGAAATTGTGTGTGAAAGAGGTTGTGGGAAAAGATAACTTTTGTTAACATTGGTCCATAAATGCTGGCAGTGGATGCTTGACATTAGCTACCATCTTTCAGCAGCCAAGTGCCAAAAGAATGGCAATGAAGGTGTTATCAAGGAAGGGGTCCTTAATAACAATGTATTTGTTTATGCCATTCTGACCTTCCAGCAAAGGCTTCAGCTAGGATTACACTAAACTGGGCAACATGAACTGCCAGTTGGATGCAGATCTCTGTCTGGTGCGTCACAGGGCTTGTGCCAACAGTTCGGGGATTCCTCAGTCAAACTATGGGATGGTCCCTACCCTGAAGCAAAATGAGGGAGCTGCCTCAGATGACGGTGTGGGAAGCTGCAGCAGCCCCTTAGCCTTCTTTCTGAGCCCCTCAGCTGTTCTTCTCTGGTGGAGAACATTGCTGTGTGGCACTCTCTGCTCCTCAGACCAGCCTGCTGCCCTCAAGTACAGGCGGTTCAACCGCCACTCTAAGAGATTTCTTTGGAAGGATACACCATGTTGACCTTCAATGCAAGCAGTAAAATCATCAGTCTTGGAGGTTCTTTTTCAGAGATCTCTGCAGGCATTGAAAAAAAGTATAGACTGCAGAGCTGAAGTGCATAGGGCTATTCCTCAGAATAAAGCTACCTAATTTTTTCAATATCCTGCAACTTTGCCTCTTTATTACACTGGGCATTTTGGATGTTCTCCAACTACCATTCACAGTGCCTCTTCTCCCCATCAAATCCCTTCCTTGAAACCTGCCTTTCTTGATGAATGCTTTACCATGCTTCCTTAATCCTCATTGCCTTCTGAAATGAAGCCTAAATAGAAGTTGAGCCTTAACCCCATGTTTACCCTCATTTCTGCCTTTCTCTCTTTCTCCCTTGCTCCTCCAGAGTCAAATTTTAGCTTGGAAATTTATGACAGCAACCTGTTCTTTCCCTGTTACTCTTTCAAATCCCATGCTTATCCTCAATTGATTGAATGCTTGATTGATCAAAAAGATTTATACCCTGCTGTTTAGGCAAATAATCCTCAAGCTAATTTACAATGCATTGTAATAATATGCAAAGCTAGATAAACCCAAACCTTGACCCACCTCATTCAGCAATCCTCGGTTTCGGGGCCCAATGGCAGAAGTCAGGGTGTGCTTCCCCTCAAATTTCCTCTGATGGCCCCATAGGAGGAATGACAGCCACAATATTCCATTGCTTAAGCAGTACAATGGGAGAATACTCAGTCTTTAAATGGAAAACCTTGATATAAAACCAATTGAAACATTCAGCAAGTCTCAGAAGAACATAAAGGTTTGAATCATTCATCACTAGTGACATTACTAGCAATATGCTATAGATCTGCTGTCTGGAGAAAGGGAAAACAACCCATTATCTTTTCACAACAACAATGTACAGCAGGTAGGTAGTGCAAACAGGAACTTTCCAGTGCTGGCACTGTGACTTGGAATGCCGTGTTCAAGCACATGGTTGTATGAGTAGCATCCACTGAGGAAGCAAACCTAAACACATTTACCTGGAAGTAAATCTCACTGAACTCAATGAGGATTACATCTGAGAAAATGTGTATAGGATCTATCTATCTATCTATTCTATCTATCTATTCTATCATTTATATGCCACTTACTACCGTAGTCTCAAGAATTCCACTGCCCATTTAAGTTTTAGCAATTAAAGTGTTTCACTTTGGCCAGGCAATTGATGACATGGGAAACTTTAAAAAGGAAGGCAAGTCAGATAGATCTTGTGGGGGGGGGGGGAGATGGAGGGGAGGGTTATGGCAGGGTGCTGTCCATTATTGTTTGTTTATTACACATTGTTTATTTCATTTGTAGTGGGGGATGGGCTGATAGAGTTGCAGTCCAACACAATTGAAAGGTACCAGGCTTGGGAAGGCTAGGCTAAAGTATTCACAGCTTCAGTGTCCTTTATTGTGTGTGCCAAATTGCTTCTGCACTCATCAAGCTCCATAAGATATTATGGAATCTCTTCTCCAGCACTTTCAGAACTGCCACGCCTCAGAGACAGCCTCCTCTCTGAGGAGAATCCACACATGAATCAGTGCCAGGGAGAGAAAGAGCACCTGGAGAGAACACCGAGGGTTTATCCCAGGATAGAGCAAACCAGGCGAAATGCGGACCTAATGCACCCCAACTGGGTGTTTCCTCCATACCCTGAACTCTCTCTCTCACACACTGCCTATAGTCACTACCAAGTCCTCAAGAACAAAAACAAGGAAGAGCTCAAACTAAAGCTTGGTCCCAACAGCACAACACTAGCTCATAAGTCATCCCATATCAGAAGAGGGAACCATGACCATTCCCCTTTCCCCTGCCAATATTTCGGTGATTTCCCAGCTTTGCATAGTTTTTCTCATTCGAAAGGGCTTAAATGCCACTTCTGAGTCTCAATTAGTGGCAGTAAGAACATTTAGCTAAAATACGCAGGTAATTTTTTTTTGACCTGACCCTTTTTGCCTTTAGCTCACCCACCCCAGACTACAGTCCCTGCAGACCTTTCTAGGAATTGAATTGAGTCCTTGCGCCTTTTCTGGGAACATCCAAAAGTGTAACTTCTCATTTCAATGAGCATGCACCAATTGGTTACCACCACACCCCTCCCTTCTTGAATGTTATATTTTATGAAAGATCCATTGTGCATATCAGACCATGCCTTCCAAATAGGCCATGTGGTAAAGAAGACCCAGTAGATGTCCACATGACAGAAGAAGCAGAAGCAGAAGCAGCCGAAGCACTATTAAGAACATTTCTTCAATTTTATTTCAGCATTTTACTATTTCAAAAATGTCTATACCACTTTCCATTCTAAAATACCAATAATCCAAAAGATTATAATACAATAAAGTAATAATAATAGACCCAAAGATTACAGTACTATGTAAATTACATAATTAGAGTATATGATTATAAGATCCCAGTACAACATTATACTAAAATACAACAAAACCAACCATTAAAATATTTATAAAAGCAATAAAATATCAATTCAAATGTCCAAGGGTAGCTGACAATGCTAGTGATCAGGAAAATGCCTGAACAAACAGGTATATCTTCAGTTACCACCAGAAACACTCCAGACTAAGAGTCCACCTGATCTCAGTAGGGAGATCATTCCACGTGTTGAGCATTAAGAACATGCTCCACCATTACCAGATAAGCTTGAATAGACTGAGATATCCGCAGTAATCCCCTTGGAGCATAAAGATCAGCCTATGTATAGGAAAATCTGTTGTCAGTGCAGAAAATTCCTATTTCCAAGTGCCCTCCCCGGACTGAAGTAAGCAGGAGGAAACTGGGATGTGTAATTTACTCAACCCATTTCAGCCAATGCAACTTGAACCTCTGGTATTTCCAGCTGAAAAGTGCTCATTAGGTATTGGCTGTCAGAGCTGAGTTTGGCATTTGGTGTGCACAACATAGTAGAAGCTCCACTAGTAGTCCTCCATCTGGAACATCCTTTCTATCAATCAGCCCTCTTCCTGAAGTCCTAGTTCCTCAGCAATACTTTCCTCCAACTTTCTAAAGAGCCGCCGCCACCACCTCAGCTATGCTTTGCCTCCACCTCCATGGAATCAGATCCACCTAGATTCCTATCTTGATTGTCAGCCTCCAGCTGCTTCTCTATCTTGTTTTGACACTGTAGTGTATATCTTAGATTCCACAGACAGAGGCTATTTCATTCCTATGCTCTTTACAGCATGTGTTCTGTTGGTGTGTTGAATAAAACAGCATAACACATGCAGTTTTGGATTTCTTGTGACTGTTGCCATTATCAGTGCAAGCAAGGCCCAGTGGAATTTTCTGCATTACACTGATCTGAAACAGCTGTGAAGGTGGATGCCATCCATTGTCTAGCTTTTGTCCCACCAGCTTCCTGAGGCCTTGCTATTGAAACCTAATGGCTCAGAAATTTCTCAGTAGAATCGAGCTGAATTGTTTCCCATAAAACCCTAACAAAAAGCAGCCTGATGTGAGGCATAAGTCATTTCAGAATAAGTGTTCCCAGGATATCTTTTCTTAAGCTGCTCTAATTGCACACGCGCAATTCCTGCAGGCGTTAATGTTTTTTGGGTTGTGGAGACAAAGCAGGCAGTAACTGATCTTGCTGTGCCAACCGAAATGTGCTCCATTTGCTCTGTATATCAGTCCCTTTATATTCAGACAAGTCATATTGGTTTTGAGACATCTAGCTTTGTTCTGATGCTTGAAGCAAAGCAAATTAATAACATTCTGGAGAGCTGCTTCAAAAAGAATGTAGGAAGCAAAACACAGTGAGAGAGACTTTTCCAAGCCAAAAACACTATCTTACACCCCAGGTTATGAGATGTGCTTGACTATATGTCTTCCAGCAGAACATGCCTGTATGACCAGTACCCTATTAAAGAACTAACGTTATCAAGGTAGCAAGCAATATTTTTTGAAGAAAGGGTAAGTCATTCAGAGACAGAATGTCCCAACAAACAGCAAATATCTTCATTTGGAGTCTGACGCGGGAGAAAAAGAAGTCATCAAAGTGAGCTTTATCTTGTGGAAGAAAAGAGTAAAACAGCAGCCATTTTCTGTTCCCATGAGATGTTGTACACACAATGGGTTGTTTTGTTGCTGAATCTGAGCAACCAACCCCATTACATGTACAGGGAACTGCTTGGCAAGAGCAGCCAAATCCCTTGTTGAGCTTGCCCTTGTCAGTGACAGCAATTCCACTGATGTCCAGGTAGCAAAGAGAAGCCGCTGTCACTGGCTTGCCATTTTCTGTGGTGATCACAAGTGTGCCCAAGCAGCACACTGATGGAGTTCATCCACCCATTTTTAAAATTATTTTTAGATGCAAGAAATGTGTGCAAATATGCTCTTTATTCAGGGGTCCAAACTTGAATCCCATCCGGGCAATGTCCTGGGAGGTGGCTGCTGTCAAAGTGCAGCAGGCACCAAGCACAGATATTGACCCAGAGTGACTTCAAATAGGTGTGGCTGTTTTTTAATCACACTCTCCTGACAGTATTGAGAAGGCAAGTGGTCAAAGAAAAACAAAGTTGGGAGGAATCTTTGCTCACAAAAAGGGCCAAAGACTCCCCACCACCACCACTTTGTTGTAAGAAGGGGTAGTTTTAAAAAATAAATATGTATGTACAATTTATGCAATTTATATATTTCCCAGGCAGAACTATCTTGTTTAGCCAAGCCTAAATACTGGTTTTAAAAGGGAGCTATATGTTTATTGACTGTCAGTAGTAAGTGTTAGCAGAACTGGGAAATGATGCATTTTGCTTCTTTCCAAAGCACTTTGGAAAGAGCAGAAAAGGTGGGGCACTGGGAACTATGCAAGTAAAACCTGGAGGATCTTCTCATGGATTGGAGTAAAGCACTCCTGTTTCACAAGCAAAGACACTTGTGGCTTGGCTTGGCCTTAACGGCTTGTCTTTTGGCAGCTGTCAAGCATAAAGTAAAACAATAAACTCATTTGCAGCATGTGGCAGCAGACACTTGCCAGGGCATTGCCCAGGCAAAGCTTCCTATTTTGGATCCCTGAAAATGTGCATCTCTGCATTTGTGAAAGACTGACTAAAATCTTTTTTGAAAAATGTGATTAATATATTTGTGCAAATTTCTTTCATTTAAAAAGGGGGAAAAGTTGACACTTTGGGGTGCTGTCACTGGCTGTCATCTTGGAGATCTCTGAGAAAGAAAATGTGAAGGGGGGAGATACCTACAGTGAGAGGAAAAAAGGCTCATACTTTTAGAAGGAAAGGAGACAAGACAATCTCAGCCATCAAACCCCAAGGACACCAAGTGGAAGATCAAAGACACCCAGTCACAGTGGCACACTGTGGGTTGTGCCATGAACAACCTGCACTGCACAGCTAATTTGCATGGTGGGTTGCCATGTCAAGTCAACTCACCCACTGTGAGCCTCATCATTGTTTCTATACTATCCAGAGAACTGAAATTGGGACACACATGATGCAAGATACCCTAGTTACTGCAGCAAGTCTGAAACATACCATATGTTGAATGTAAAATGGATTAGTCTAGCTAGAATGCTGAAAATACATGCAATTCAAGAAACCTGGATTATAAGAAAAGCCTTCTGAAGTGACTGTTCATATCAAACACTCAAAACTCAGAGCATGGAGTGCGCTGCATTCCAGAACAGAGTAAGCAAAGCCTGGTGTAAGACGGGCCGTCACGCTCTCTAACAGAAGACTCAGATATTGAATCTCGACAGCTAGGTAGCCAAAACAGGGACACTGGAGAACAAGAGCGAGTATTCATGTGCTCAGGAGAACTTGAAGTAGAAAGGTAGAAAAGAAATTTAAGCAGGGAAAAAACCAGGAAAGGATGGGGGAATCAAACAACTTAATGGGCCACAAAGCATGCTCAGTGATCCCACAGAACACTGAACATTTGTTGGGTGGTGCTGGGACATAAAACCAGGAAAGCTGGAGGCTGAAAGTATTCTGGAAGGGGATAGACCATTAGCTAGAATGCTGAGAGGAACAAATATGCTCTAGGTTTTGCCTGCAATTATGAGTTAACTATGTGGTACCAGAGCAGCAAAACAGAGAGGTGTCCAATGGGGGTTGTTTCATTTTCTTGTTTGCGAAACTTGCAAGATCTAGGACTTGTAAGGAAAAGAATGCTAAGGTTGGGATTATACCCAGTGCACATCTAGGATTTCTTCTACCCAAATTTCCCAAAGGTTCTGCATAGTGGGAGAGCAAGCAGAGCAGTTAAGAAATAACAAGTGAGTGTCAGAGAGAGATTTGTAGTAAGATTCTGCTGAAATAATTAAACAAGTCTTTACTGTATCTAGTTAATTAAATCCCTTTCAGTAATTGCACTGAAGTGTTGTTGTTGTTGTTTTTCTTTTTAAAGGAGGAATAAAGTCGTCAGTCTGATTTTTATCAGGCTCCTAATGGCATTTAAATGCGAAAGGCTCCCATTTGCTTAATGCACAACCATCCAAAGCTGGATAAGAGAATGCGTATTGTAATTGCGTCTGTGTATCAATGGTAACCACCAGTCCTCAGCTTGACTGACTCTTGCTTTCTGCTGCTCAGAATCTGAAGCGTGTGGCAGAAACATGGATGGATGAGTTCGCAGAGTACGTTTACCAGAGGCGGCCTGAGTACAGGCATCTTTCCACCGGTGATATCTCAGCCCAGAAGGAACTTCGCAAGCACCTTAAGTGCAAGGACTTCAAGTGGTTCATGGCTGCAGTGGCTTGGGATGTCCCTAAATATTTCCCTCCAGTGGAGCCCCCACCTGCTTCATGGGGAGAGGTGAGGAATATATCAAACACGCCAAATGTTGCTGCATGGCCCCCCACCATGAAAGGGTAGAAAACCTTTTGAGGCCCATGGGTACATTAGGACATTCGCCAAAATGGCCGTAACTGGAAGGTGTGGCTTGTAATAAAGGATAGATGAGCTGCCCAAAACCTGAGCATAAAGCAGAGATGGAATCTGAGACCCAAACCACTGAACAACTCCTTTAGATTTCAGTTTTTGTGCCAACAGAAATCTATTTCATAGAAGTGATATTCTTTTTCTCCCCTGGTAGCCTCCTCTGCTGGCCAACTCATTCACCCCAATCTCTTTTTCTCTCTTAGAATCATAGATTAGTAGAATTTGAAGGGGCCAAGAAGGCCATCGGATCCACTTCCTGCTGGTCACCAATTTACACCATCCCACTAAGATGACCGTCCAGTTTCTTTTGGGATGTCTCTAGCGTGGGAGAGCCCACAACCTGTCTAGGCAACTGGTTCCACTGTTGTTCTGGATCACCACCAAATACAAGTGCTTGGCTTTCACACATGTGTAAAATCACCTCGTATCTCCATCATCCAAGTGGGAGGGCTTGGGCATCTTGGCTGGTATCAGGGGCTGCACTGGTACCCATGGACACCATGTTGCCTACCTCTAGTCCTCTCTTTGCCACAGAGCAATCCAGTGCAAGTCTGCATTTCCAGAAAAGCTGCCTCTGCCATGACAAAGCTCTCACAACACTGATCTACTTCCATGGCCAGTGATGTTGTTAAGGGAGCTGGAAGCAACTGGATCACCTAGAAAGTTGCTTAAATATGGAACTGGGATTTTTGAACCTTTGCAATTCTCTTTGTGTGGTGTGACAATGTGCTGCATATACTCACGTTCCCTAACAGGAAGATTTCAAAGTGCCAACACACTTGTTTCTTGCAGATGAGTGATTTTGGGGGCTACAATATGAATTGGTTCTCCAAGAGCTGTGCCTCTTCTGGTATGTGTGCAAAAATCATAATGCACTTTTGTGTGGAAATTGTCACTTTCACCATTTCCTATAATTGGTGCATATTTACATCAAGCAACTACTACAGCTATATGGACTTCTGAAATATTTGGTCCTCTGCTTGCTGGTTTGACTTTGTTAGCTCTTTCTTCTTGTGGTTTCAAGCAACAATCAGAGTTGGTTTCAAAGTTCCATTTTAAATTGGGAGGGGGGAATGTTAAAATAACTCACTTCATGCAGTAAACATAGAAACAGTTTGTGCAAGTATGTCACTGGCTTTTGTTCACATGCTTGGTCCCAAACCATAGCCAGAAAAATGATACATATGGTTTGGTGATCCATTCAGAAAGCAATTTCTGTTGTCAAAGTGATACTCTGGGGAGTTGAAGCAGTCATAGAAATTACTTCTGATTATGGGTTACCTTTTTTCCTTAATATATACACTCAAGGTGGCACAGGAGTAATAGCAAAGCATGCAGACTGCCTCTTAAGGCCAAACAGGATGTGACATTAAATATGTATTTGCATTTCATGTGCACATTAAAAAATGCAAATAGTAGCGACTGGAGGACAGGGAGATCATTTCTGGCAGAAAAGGAGGAAGGAAGGAATAATGTAGATAACCCTCCACCTACCTCCATTTCCTACACTTTTGGCAAATGTTCTTCTGAGAATGCTATTTCCATTGGGAGGAAGGTCATCATGGGCAAATGGTCAGAACTGCAACAAGGGAGAAAAAAATTATGTGCCACCCACTCGCTGTGATTCTGATAATGAGCAACACCTCACCTTTGGTTGCTATTTTCATTTTTTTTAAAGTGTGAAGATGTGTTTAACATCATGTTTAGTCTGGCCTTTAGATATTCCAGATGAAGGCATGCTAGAATGATCCACTTGACTGTTGACTTTTGCATATCAAATGAATCAGGAATCAATGAGATGGCATGTGATTAAAGAAACTGATACATAAAAAGCACAGTTCAGCTGGTTGCTTCCTTTCCCTCTCCTGTCCAATCATCAACAGTTGTGTAATCCTCATAGTGCATCATTCTTGGCACCCATGTTTTTTTTTTTTTTTTAATTGCAGGCATCTTAATATTTACCCATTGCCCCATTTCCAGGCTCTCAGTGGTTTACAAGAAATTAAAACCAACTGTGAGTAATATTGACTAAGACAACATGTTAAATAAAACTGACATGAAAACTAATCTGGGAAAACCTGTCAGAAGAGATACATTTTTAACTCCCTCTTAAAGGTAGGGATTTGGGAAATCAGATGTATCTCTCCTGGAGACCATTCCACAGCTTAGGGCCAACCACTGAAAAATTCCTCTGGGTAGTTGACATTAATCTTGCAGAAGCAGACTTCAGAAGATTATCCCCAGAGTATCTTAGCTGGTGAGGCATAATGTATGGCAAAGTTTCTCCGAAGGTATTTTGGACCCAAGAGATGAAGTGCTTTAAAGTTAATTACCAACACCTTGTACTGTATCTGGAAACGTATTGACAACTAGTGCAAAGACTTTAAAATAGGTGATATGTGGTCTCTCCAGGATGTCCCAGTGACCAGCCTGGCTGTCATATTTTGTACTAGTTGTAGTTTCCAGAGTGTGCACAGGAGTAGCCTTCTAGAGCTTATAGGTTACCAACACATGAACTACTGTTCTCCTCAAGGAAGGGATGCAGTTGGCAAATCAGCCAAAGCTGATAGCAGACACTCTTGACGCAGCTTCTATCTGAGCTGACCTCTGAACGGCTGGATCAAGTAGCACCCCCAAACTGCAAACACTGTCTTTCAGGGGAAATATGACCCCATTTAAACTGGTTAATGCACCTCTAACCCTGGACCCTTAACAGCAAGCACCTCCATTTTGTCTGGTTTCAACTTCAGTTTGTTTTTCTTATGCAGCACATTACCAGCTTCAGGCAGTCATTGAGAGAAGAGATGCTGTCTCTGGAAGAAGCAGCAGATGATGGAAAGGAGAAGTAAATCTGGGTGACATCAGCATACTGATAACATCCAGCAATACTCCCCCAGATGATGTCTTCCAGCAGCTTCATGTAGATGTTAAACAGCATTGGAGACAGAATGGACCCTGTGGGACTCCACAAGTCAGCTCCTTCTTAGAGGAGCAACAGTCTCCAAAACTCACAATCAGGAACTGACTCAAGAGACAGGAAGGGAACCACTGCAAAGCAGTGCCTCCAATTCCCAATTCCCTCTGATGATCCAGAAGGATTCTATGGTTGATAGTATCAAAGGCTCCAAGAGATCGAACAATCCCATCAATTCTGAGCTCATACACTAGAGTGACCAAAACAGTCTCAGCTTCATGTTCCACTCTGAAGCCAGGTTGAATTGGGTTCAGAAAATTAGTATCACTCAGGACGGCCTGCAGCTGGAGAGATACTGCCTTCTCAATAACCTTACCAAAAAATGGTATATTTGAGACTGGTCTAAAATTGTTAAGGTTCAGGGAGTTCAAAGTAGGTTTCTTGAGGAGGGGCCATACAATAGCCTCCTTCAGGCTGGCAGCAACCCCACCTTCTCTGAAGGAGTCATTGGTGATAGGCCATAATAGAGCCCTCAGTGCTTCCACTCCCAGACTAGCAGCCAGGATAGAGGTAGATCAAGAGGACAGGTGGTTTTTCTCAGCTGTCCAAGCAATCTGTCAATATTATCAAGACTTACAAATTGAAATTGATCCAGGTTAATCCCATTCACAGGAAGATGGACACCTCTGTGTCAATCTCCACTTCCACAATTACATGAAGTTCAGCTTTTATCCAAAATAAATTATCTTCAAAATGGTTTTTAAAAGAGTCACAGTGAACAACTGATGGTGCTAAACAAAGGTTAGGGGGCACTGGGGCTTAAGACAAATCCCTTATCACCCTAAACAGCTCTGCTGGATGTGAATTTGCAGAAATGATATAATCAGGGAATCAACCCTTCTTTGCTGCTCATATTGCCACTCCATTGGAGTGCAGATGGTCTCTATAAAGTATTTTGAGATGAGTCTGGATTTATGCCACCAGCCCTCTTGTCATCCTTCCTGCTTCATGCATTGGAGCGCCTCTGCATACTAGGAAGCTCTTCTGGAAGCAGGATGGAGAGGACACTCAGGAGGACCTGGTCTGAGGCACTGGTCAACTCCTGCTTCTATTTTGTGACCCGGGTTATGACAGGATCACTGGCAGAACTGGCCAAATAACCTCCTTAGGACTGATTGGAAACCACTGGATCCGTAAGTCTTCAGGGGCTCACCATTGTATTAGGTCCATCATTTCTACAGGGACTCAAAAAAGGGGAATATAAAAAGAACATTACAAATATGATATGATATTTCTATCCTATTAGCATACATTAATGCACGCCCTGGCTTTTCCAACACTCCAAATCTGCAGGTACAGATGCATCCAGTTATCATCAGGCACTTTATGCTTTTGTGTATTTTTAGAAAACTGCAGCTTCTGAGCTTTTTCTTGTTTGGTTGGTCTTGCGTGTGCTGGGGGTTTAGCTTAAGCCTAGCTCTAAAATGTAAGCTTTCACCACAGTGAACTGTGCTAGCAATGCTGGGTCCAGAGTAATGCTCTTGTCAAGCACTTCTGCAGGAAACACTCTGAAAGATCAGTGCAGCACGTATCTCATGAGTTCTTCAGAGTACATCAAGGTGGCTCCTGTTTCATGGTGCTATGCAGAGACTGGGCATCCTGGAATTGTCTAGCACTTGTTACAGAAATGGTGCACATCAGGCACTTCCAGTTGTGTGGCTGCAAGGCTGTGATGGTCTGAATTTAAATGGGATCAAAAAGCTGGCAAAGACCGACAAAATTGTTCCTTTCTTTCAGCTAGCAATTTTTCTGCATCAGCTGCTTCAACCCGCTTTTGTTTCTGGCTGAGTTTGTTTTGTTGGGCACATACCCTCAATGCAGAAAAGGTATGAGAGAGCAAAGGGTTTTTGCCATTGCTTCCATTTCATCTAAGTGATGACTGGACTGCTATCACTTGGAT